CAGAAATCCAGAAATTCAGAAATTCAGAAATTCAGAAATTCAGAAATTCAGAAATTCAGAAACTCAGAAATTCAGAAATTCAGAAATTCAGAAATTCAGAAATTCAGAAATTCAGAAATTCAGAAATTCAGAAATTCAGAAATTCAGAAATTCAGAATCTCAGAATCTCAGAAATTCAGAAATTCAGAAATTCAGAAATTCAGAATCTGGGAGTCTCAGAAATTCAGAAATTCAGAAATTCAGAAATCCAGAAATTCAGAAATTCAGAAATTCAGAAATTCAGAAATTCAGAAATTCAGAAACTCAGAAATTCAGAAATTCAGAAATTCAGAAATTCAGAAATTCAGAAATTCAGAAAATCAGAAAATCAGAAATTCAGAAATTCAGAAATTCAGAAATTCAGAAATTCAGAAATTCAGAAATTCAGAAATTCAGAAATTCAGAAATTCAGAAATTCAGAAATTCAGAAATTCAGAAATTCAGAAATTCAGAAATTCAGAAATTCAGAAATTCAGAAATTCAGAAATTCAGAAATTCAGAAATTCAGAAATTCAGAAATTCAGAAATTCAGAAATTCAGAAATTCAGAAATTCAGAAATTCAGAAATTCAGAAATTCAGAATCTCAGAATCTCAGAAATTCAGAATCTCAGGATCTCAGAATCTCAGAATCTCAGAATCTCAGAAATTCAGAATCTCAGGATCTCAGAATCTCAGAATCTCAGAATCTCAGATTTTTGAGAACCAGAGATTCTGAGATTTTTAGATTCTGAAATTCTGAAAGTTTGAATTCCCGAAATTTTCAAACTCCGAATTTAATGAATTCCGAGATTCAGAAAATCAGAACAATTCTGAAAAATTCAAAATTTCAGAAATTCAGAAATTCCAGCAACCTTCTGAAAATTCAAGTTATGTATTATAGCTTTTTTCTCCATATTCCCCGAAATGTTCCCATTCCCCTATCTCTTTTTGAAATCTGATACTTTTCTGCTAATGAGATCAGATAAGTACCGAAACAATTAAACCGAAAGGGAATCAAGATTATAATCTTATCTCTTTGTCTCAATCTTCTAACTTTTTTGTATTCTATCAAATGGTGATTAAAAAAAGATAAGAAGATAATAAAAATTCTGATGACGTAGGCAATTTTTTTCAGATCAAGAGGTCAATGAGCAACCAGATCAGGAGGAGCAAGATTATAAGGAACAATAATTTTTTCAAGTTTTAACATTTTTGAGCTTTTTTTACATTTCAAACAGGGTCAATTTCTTTTTGCATTTTCAGTTTTCTTTTTCAGTATTTTTTCTCATATTTCCAATAAAATTTGGTTTTCTACAGTATCCATATTTTGAATTCTCTTATTCTAACTTTTTCTCGGAACAGCGCTATGTTTTGATTTCGGAAGTCCTTTGGAAACGAGAGTGTGTGTGTTTTGGTGGAGACTCAAATACTTTGAAGGGGAAAAAGAGAAAAGGTACTACGGGGTACCACTCTAAAGTAAGTGTCTGGGATAGGAGATTTGAATTTTTGGGGAAGAAAAGAAATAGGGAAAATGAGGGACCAGGAATGATTATTGTTTCAGAACGGTTGGGAAATGACTGGTTCTGAGATGTCCGATTGTGAAATGGTCGTTTGCATCTTAAAGTTTGAAAACTGTGAATTGAAACTAAAACATTTTCATTAGCGAATTTCAGAAAGTCAAATCTTGGAATCTACTACATTCAGGAATTCTGGATTTTCAAAATATTGATAATTTGTGGATTGCTCAATTCCGTGGAATTTCAGAATTTTGGAAATTCTCAGAACTTATGTGGAACTCAATATTCCAGATTTTAAATATTTGAGATTTCTGAATTTCGGAATTCTAGATTTTCAGGATTTCTTGAAATTTCTGAACTTCAGACTTTACGATTTCTGAAACTCAAAATTTCTGAAACTTGTTAATTTGAAAATTTTGGATAATTTCGAATTTCAGAAAGGGGGGGGGGAGCTTCAAACGTTCAGATTTCAGAATTTCAGAATTTTAGAATTTCAGAATTTCAGAATTTCAGAATTTCAGAATTTCAGAATTTCAGAATTTCAGAATTTCAGAATTTCAGAATTTCAGAATTTCAGAATTTCAGAATTTCAGAATTTCAGAGTTCTAGAATTTCAGATTTTCAGATTTTCAGAATTTTAGAATTTCAGAATTTTAGACATTCAGAAATCCAGAATTTCAGAATTTCAGAATTTCAGAATTTCAGAATTTCAGAATCTCAGAATTTCAGAATTTCCGAATTTCAAAACTTCTCAATTTCAAAATTTCAAAATTTCTGAATTTCTGAATTTCAAAACCCAGGTTTTTTTCAAAAAAAAAAATGTTTTTTGGGGTTAAACTTTTGGGGGCCAGGTTTTTTTTTTTAATTTTTTTCCACCCCAAACCTTTTTTTTTCCCCCCCCCCCCCCCCCGGAGAAAAGAAAAAAAAATGTATGTACATTGACTGATTGACTAATAGAGATCAGGGTTCATTATGTCACGCAAGAGAAGCTACACTGTAAAAAAAATCAAGATTACTGTAGGACGGCGGGAATTTCAATTTTTTCTTTTTTTTCGATTCTTAAAGTTTAAAAGCTACTTATCTGAAATTTCTTAATTTAGCGGAATCTGAAAAGTTGAATTTTCAAGAAAAAATTTTTCTGAACAAATCTGGTGAAAGTTTGAGAAATTTAGGGAAATAACGCAATTTTGAAATCATTATTGGATTTTGATTTTTTCAAAATTTTTAAGTTCCTTTTTATTTTTTCACCTTTGTAGTTTTGCCCTCCAAACTGACTACAAATGTTTCAATCTACTCAAATATAGCCTCAATTAGTGAAAACGGCGATAATTAGAAATTCCAATTGACTTCCTTTTTGTTTATTTTTTACACACTTTCAATGTGTTTGTATGAATGACACTGTTTTTTTGAATTATTACCACAAAAATGATGGAGAGGAAGATGTCAAATGACCTGAAGAGTGTGTTAGGTCAAAAAAGATGTAATGTGTAGATTAGGTCGTTAGGTGTAAAGTTTAAGAAAACGAATTTGCATGGAAAAAAAGCGAGAATTCTGAAATTTTGGAAATTCTGATATTCTGAATTTCTGAATTTCTGAATTTCTGAATTTCTGAATTTCTGAATTTCTGAATTTCTGAATTTCTGAATTTCTGAATTTCTGTATTTCTGAATTTCTGAATTTCTGTATTTCTGAATTTCTGAATTTCTGAATTTCTGAATTTCTGAATTTCTGAATTTCTGAATTTCTGAATTTCTGAATTTCTGAATTTCTGAATTTCTGATTCGGAAATCTGGAAATTCAAAAATTCAGAAATTTTGAAATTCTGAATTTCTGAATTTCTGAAATTCGGAAATCTGGAAATTCAAAAATTCAGAAATTTTGAAAATCTGAAATTCTGAAATCTGGAAGTTCTGAAATTCTGAAATTCTGAAATTCGGAAATCTGGAAATTGTGAAACTCGGAAATCTGGAAAGTCAAAAATTCTGAAATTCTGAAATTCTGAAATTCTGAAATTCTGAAATTCTGAAATTCTGAAATTCTGAAGGTCTGAAATTCTGAAATTCTGAAA